GCCTGATATTCGTCCTGCAAGGTCCATGCCTGGGAAACCCTCCCCTACTTCCGGTGCACCCATGGGCGCTTGCATGCCCCTCCCTTTCCGACCGGCTGAGCCCCCACCACATCTCCTCCTCACCTCTATTATGTCTTAGCCATGAAGATGACTTTCACTGGACTGTGGGCTGATGGAGAGCAGGGCAGAGCCTTCTCCTAGGATGTAGATTTTGCTCAGTAGCGGCTGGCCGGTCGGTTGAGTGATAGGCCTTAAGGAAGCCCAGGTTTGGGGGCGGGTCCAGAGAACTGGAAAGAGATGGAGACATCCTTATGCACAGGTCCTTCTCCTACATGGACCGCTATAATGGGGACATTCGCTTTGACAACATCTACATCAGCACCTACTTCTGTCAGATTGATGACCGCAGGAAGAAACTGGTGAGTGGGCCCAGCCCTGCCCTGCGGGGCTCTGCTGTGTGCCCCAGGTGGCTTCAAGCTCCAGGAGGGCAGAGCAGAAAGAAGAAAGGGCCCTTGCTGTTCCTCACGCTGTGGACATTTTTTTCTAGGGCAAACAGACACTGTTGCCTCTGCGCAAAGCTGAGAAGAAAACCGTCATCTTCCCCTATGACCCCTCTATCCAGGCCTCAGAAATGAGAAATGTGGTAAAGACGGCAGGGGAGGCAGCCACAGGTGCGGGTCTGAGGGGAAGGCAAAGGCATCAGAGAGGGCACCGCGCCAGGCTCCACCTCTCCCGCTCCTGGGCAGGTAAGGGAGCTAATGGAGACAGTGCCTGTTCTGCTGCTGCTGCTGGTGCTGTGTGGACTGGACTGGGCTCTCTACTCCACCTTCGACACCATCCGCCACCACTCCTTTCTGCAGTACTCCTTCCACAGTGAGCCTGCGCCCCCAGGGGACATCCCCCCCGGGGAGCGCCCACTCCTGTCAGCCAGCCCACCCCAATTCTTCCCATTTTGTCACTTCCTTCTGGGTCTCAGCCCCTCCCTGTCCTCCTCAGGATCACATCCCAGCCCTGCAACCTGACAGCTGTTATTGGGGGCCTAGGTCTCCAACCACTTTCATGTCTTCCATAGGAAGGGGTTAGTACTCTGCGAAGGGGTGGAAGGTACAGCCGAGAAGTATTTGTGTGCCCGGAACTCTCCCCATCCCCTCGACTCCAGCCCTTTCCTGGCACACTCCCCACCCCCACCGCCCACCCCACAGCCCCCTACCCTCGCCTCAGGCAGTCACAGATTGGAGGTAAACGTTGGGGGAGACTCCATGCTCGCCCGGCTCCTTCGGAAAACCATTGGGGCCCTGAACACCTCCTCGGAGACGACGATGGAATCGAACAACATGCGTGAGTGCTGAGCTTTGGGGCCAGAGGAACTGAAGGCTGAGGGGCAGGTTCTTTCCAAGGCCAAGAATTGTAGGGCTAGACCTTGGGTGTGGTGAGATGGGGGTCACCTGTTTGGGTTGGGGAATCAGAGCATGAAATGTCAGGTCCCAAGGGAAGAGTTAGAGGGTGACGGATGGGCCAAAGGAGTTTGGGGGTGGGGTCTTAGAGCCAGTGGGTCCCAGCCCTCCAGAGCAGTGCTGTCAACAGCGCTTTCGACTGTGATGGAAACATTCTGCATTTGTGCTGTGTTGAGCAAATAGCCACATGGGCCTAATGGCTACAGTTTGGACGACACAGCTCTTCAGCTGGGAGAGGAAGTGGGAGTAGAGTAGGACATCAGAGACCTAACCTGCACTCTCACTGGGATGGGGAGTTCAACCAGGGCTGCCTTGTCCCTCAGCCAGTTCTGGTCAGACCCTGACAGGTCTCGCCCCACCCCAGCCTGTCTGCCTCAGCCCGTGCGCCTGAGTGCCAGAGCCTATTTGAAGGCTGGACTCCCCGTTGGCCTGCTAGTGTGTCTCTGCCTGCTCCAGGCTTTTGGCTACAGGCTCCGGAGGGTCATCGCAGCCTTCTACTTCCCCAAGGTGCGCCCCCCCCTTCTCCCCTGACCTCTCCGCCACTACAGGTGGAACTCACATACACACACCAGCCTGAATGCGGCTCCCCACGGGATGCTGTGCCCTCAGCCCTGTCACTGTCATTGACCCCTGTCTCCCTGGCCCCAGCGAGAGAAGAAGCGGGTCCTATTCCTCTACAATGAGCTCCTGAGGAAAAGAGCAGCCTTCACCAAGCTGAGGAGGGCGGCCATCGTGAGGCGAGCACGGCAGCAGAGGGCACCAGTAAGTCCAGGCCTGTGCTCCCGTGGCTCCTGCTGGGTCTGAGACCTGCGGGCGGAGGGCGCCTGCCATCAGTGCCCCCAGCCCCACCACCGCCTCGGGCCTGCCGAAGCTCAGGGAGTTCTGACACGATTCACGCCAAGGGCCCCAGTTGTCCTGCTCTGAGAGTCAGGGCTGTGTGTCCATCTGCACACCTCAGAAGTCAGTCCAGCCTGAGAGACTGAGTGGACCACCAGGAAGCAGGCAGAAAAGGGGGATCAGATTTGATACAGTCTGGTCAAAGGGAAGCAAGAGGAGTCTATCAGAAAGAAGGAACCCAAGGCAATGCCACGGCTTCTCCTGAGAGGACTACAGACCAGGAGATCAATGTAATTCAGAAGTGGGGGAGTGAGGCAGGTGGGCTGGGAGTCAGGGACACCTCGTGAAGGGGCACATGGTACGTGGAAAGAGTAAGCAGTTGCAAGAACCAGGTTCTAGTCCACATTCCCTCGTTACACTGTGTGACCTTGGCCTTAGCCCTCACTGGGCCTGTTTTTTTACCTCTGAAGAATGGGGAGGCTAGACCGATGCGAACGGCCTGCTCATAGAGATTAGTGATAGACTGATGGTCGGGTGTAGAGCTCTGGTGGCACAGGGCCTGGGTTTAAATCTCGGTTCCTTGCCTTGTTACTATGACAGCCATGTGATCGTGAGCACTTTTTTAACTGCTGTACCTTGGTTTTTCCCTTCTGTAAAATGGAGTTAACTGCTCCATTTGATTGTTGGAAGGATTCAATGAGTTTTGCTGTCATGGTGCAGGCGCAAAGCAAGTTCCATACATGTGTTAGTTACCATCGTGTGGCTGCAGGCAAGCGGCTACCTCTCCAACAATTCATTTTCTTGCCTGAAAAACAGAAGATGTTAATAATAACAATATCTGCCTAATACGGTTATTGTTTAAATTGAGTTAATTTCATTAGTTTCTTAGGACAGGGCCCAACATTATTCTTTATTTTTAAAATATTTTATTTATTTTTAGAGAGAGGGGAAGGGAGAAAGAGAGGGAGAAAAACATCGATGTTTGAGAGATACATCGATCAGTTGCCTGTTGCACACCCCCAGCCGGGGACCTGGCCCACAACCGAGGCCTGTGCCCTGACTGGGAATTGAATCTGCGACCTTTCACATCACACCCAGCACTCAATCCACTGAGCCACACTAGCCAGGGCCCAACATTATTTTTAAAATAATGAGTAGCAGCCATTCTCATTTAATCAGTCTAACCAAGCTCCTAATAATGAGACTGTTTGCTTAACTTTTTCCTCCAGTTCCCAGATCCTCCACCCCTGACACACAGTAGGGGCTGAATGGTTATCTAAGGGGGGGGGGGATGAACATACTATGATTCCACAACCTGGTCCTGAAGTAAACTGGACTTTCATACACAGTTTCAAATGTGAAGGGCATTCTTTCCAAGCTGAGGGAACAGAATGTGCAAAGACTTAGACTTCAAACAAAGAGAATGCCAAGTGCCTGGGTTAGCCTAGGGGGACACTGGCACAGATGTAAAGGTTAGGGAGGGGTAAATGGGATCAGAGGCGAGAAAGGGACCAGACTGTGGAAGGCTATGAAAGCCAAGTCCAGGAATTCTGCCTTTGTCGGACAGGCAGTGGGCTCCAGGAGTTTTCTGAGCAAAGAGTGGCCTGGTAAGGCAGTCTGTGGAGAATTTGGGGCAAATGTGTGGAGAGAGGGGAAGCATAATGCACCAGGCTTGTGATTTGGAATCAGAGTACCTGGGTCCAGCCAGGTTTAATTGTTTACTATCTGTGTGCCTTTGGGAAGGTCACTTAACCCGGAAAGTGCGGAACACAGTTGTGGTGGTCTTATCTCCCCTACTCACTTCTCAGCTCCACTGTGAATAAGATGATTCACAGGAAAGTGCAAATCATGGCTGTTGCTGTTACTAGCTGGGAGAGTCCAGGCTGCATCCTCCCACTGTCCATCATGGAGTGAGGGGAGGGAAGCTCCGTAAGATCTGCTTCCTCTAACGTGAGAGCGTTACCAAGCCTTGGGACTTCAGACACGAAGGGCTGTCCAGTATCCCTCGCGCCCCTTTTCTTGCCCTCTCTTCCCAATAAGCTCTAAATCCTCGCCTTCCAACAGCGCCGCCACCTGGCAGACATCCTGCACCACCGCTGCCCCCTTTTGCGCCCCTGGCTGCGCCGGCGCTGCGTGGTATGCCAGGCACCGGAGACCCCGGAGTCCTACATGTGTCTCACTCCGGACTGCGAGGCCGTGTACTGCAGGTCGTGCTGGGACGATATGCGGCAGCGGTGCCCGGTCTGCACCCCCCGAGAGGAACTCTCTTCCTCCGCCTGCAGCGACAGCAACGATGACGCTACCTACGCGGAGTGAAGAGGCATTCTACTCGTTCTTTCACCTCACTTCTTCCTATTTAATAAAATGCTATGTACACTCCTGCCACCAACGCTTGGAAGACGGTCTGGTACCGGAGCGGGGTGTGAGCCGGCACTGCCTTGGCAGGCAGTCTGGAGAACTGGCCAGCCTCATCGCCGCGGGGCCGGGCGACATACTAGAGGCAGGAGGGCAGCAAGCTGCTCGGAAGAGGTCCGGACTAGAGGCCGGGTGGAGATGCGATTCCGAAGGGGACCGGGCCAAGGTTCCCACGCTGCGCAGTAGCAGGAAAGCCGCTGTGCAGAGCAGAGCGGGAGGAGCTGGAGTCCCGGGTTAGGTCCCGCCTCCTTTAGCGCTTGGAGCACGGCGGGGGCGGGGCCTCTCCTAGGGAGGAGCCGCGGAGGAGAAGGGCCCGGCTTGGGACCCATAGAAGGGGGACGGGGCGGGGCCTGGCGGCTGCGCTGCCCCTCGGAGTTCGAGAGGCAGACCTGCACGCCTCCGATCCTCTGTGCGCAGCCCCGCACCTGCTACCCTCGGCTGCCCCGGGGCGCCGCTGTCATGCGGCTAGCGCTGCTCTGGGCCTTGGGGCTCTTGGGCGCGGGCAGCCCTCTGCCGCTTCCAGATACAGGTGAGTTCCGTCCGGGTTGTGGGCGGAGGGAGCACTGGAAAGAGGCTCAGGGAAGTCAGGAGGCATTGGGGTACTGAGGTCAGAAGGAGACCCTGAGAGACCACAGCCAGAGTGGGGCTGGCCCTGGTCTTCTGTCCTGGGCCGAGGGCCTGGTGACTGGACGATGGAGTGAAGAGGAAAGGAGAGTCATCCTCGGAACGGTCCCCGCGGACACTTCCAGACTGTGGTACCAGGCGGGTCCCTCGGGCTCGTAGGAGAGGGTCACTGCTCCCCAGAACTGGCATCTCGCTCCTTTGGGGCCTAGCTGACCGTTTCAGCCGGTGCCAGGGTGCCGAGTGTACACGCTCATAGGATTTGGCAAAGAGGATTCTCCCCGGCACTTCCTCCTAGGCCTGAGCGGCCAGGCACCCGTCACTGTAGTGCTGATGCCACCAGAAACCTGGCTGAGCTGGAGCGGGGCCCAGGAGGAGCCAAGAAAGGGGAGAATTGGCCAGGAAAGAGGCTGGGACACCAACTCCACCTTAGAACTTTCACTTCCAGCTCCTGTCTTGGGCTGAGGCGGGGCGGGGGGCGGGGGGGGGGTGCTGAGAGGGCAGGCGAGGGTGGAGTGTCCGGAGGAGAGAGGGCCATTGTGGGGGTGGGGGGGGCGGCTAGGGGGAAGGGACACTGGGAGGAAGTGGAGGCTGTGGGGAATGGGTGTGCCTGACTGGGCACCAGTGGCGTTTAGGGAGGGGGGTGTTTGCACTCCCCACCCAGAAATGGGCGTTTCTAGCATCTCTGTTGTGAGGAAAGGGGAGGGTGAGTGGACACCCAGCCAAGAGGCTTCCCTCAGTCCTCAAGGGGGCTTTTCTAGGAGGGGGAAGATGGGGTGGGAGTGGGCAGGGAGGAGGGCCCCTGTGAGAACCTGGGATTGGCCTGAGGGCCGTAGGGAGGGGCCACGGGCTGGGGTTTACTGAACAACTAACTCTCTCTGGGCTTTTGGGATGGGTTGGTGGGATGAAAGCACACTATTAGGGAGAAGCCCCCAGTATTCTCCTTTGAGTACCAGCATGCAATGTGGGAGTCCTTCAGGAAGAGAAGGGGCTTGATGTGCTGGGAACCAGGAGGGTCAGAGGGGCTGAGTCCCTCTGCACTCTTGGAATGTTCTGGGGACCTTGCAGGTGGCACCAAGGAGAGGGCAATTCCAGAGAGAGCCCTAGGTGGGCCCTTGCAGCCCCAGATCCTTCAGGACAATCTCACGCTCAGCCTAGCAGAGGTGCTTCAGGTGAGCCTCCCTCTCCCCTGAAATAAAGAAGTGCAGCCCCACCACCCTGCCACTTCATCCAATCAGGTCTCTCAAGACAAAGGTTGCCTGAAGAGCAGGCAAGCGACCCTCACTGTGGCACTGCCACCTCAGGTTTGGCTGCCTACCCCACCCTACCCCAGCACCTGGCTTCACTCACCTCCCTCTCCCCTCCGTACACATCTGTCTGCCTCAGAGCCACCCCACCCATTCAGGCCACTGGGAAACTGAGGCCAAACTTGCTTTCTCGGTCTCATTTGTTGGTTTTTCTCAGTGGGGAGGACTTAGATGGAGAGTCAGGACCTCATCAAATGCCCTCCCACTTACCCCCAATTCTAAAGCTGAGTCATAGGAAGGGCTGGGGCCTGCACTTGGTCCTCCACGATGCTTCCTCTCTGGGCAGGAAGCCGAGAAGGGGGCGGCTCAAGATACCTTCCTTGACCTCCCTGCACAACCCCCCAGAACAATGCCCCAGGCCACGCAGGCCTTCCTGGCCCCTTCCCTTGGGACACCCCCTCCCCACCAGTGATCTAATCATTGGTGCTCTCCTAAGGGCCTAACATTTTCTGGTCAGGAAGAATAGGAATTTCAGGCAGGGCCAGGGAGGTGACCTGCTCTCTGGTGCCCACAGACCAGCCTGCCAGAGGCTTTGCAGATCAAGTTGGAGTTGGACGGTGAGAGTCACATCCTGGAGCTACTACAGAATAGGTAATGGAAGTGATGACAATAATGATGATAACACAGCTAACAACATCCATAGCATCTACCATGTGTTACGTTACGTACTAAGCGCTTGAATTCATCTAATCCTTATAATAACCCTATAAGTAGGTACAATTATGTATTGTTATTGTCCTTGTTTTCTATGTAAAGAAGGCAAGGCAATAGAGGTTAAATGACTTGCCCAAGGTCACACAGCTAGTGTGTGGTGAAAGCCCGGTTGGAACCCAGACAATCTGGCGGAGTCTGTGGCCCAACCACTGCACTCGGCTGACTCAGTGGGAAGCAGGGAAGTTGGGGTATTGCCTGGCACCCAGCTACCCCTCTATCACCTTCAGGCCTTGGGCTGGCACTGCACCACTCTGGGAGACAGCTGATACTGCCCTCCTCTATCTTCACTCCGCAGGGAGCTAGTCCCAGGCCAGCCAACCCTGGTGTGGTACCAACCTGATGGCACCCGGGTAGTCAGTGAGGGACACAGTCTGGTGAGTTGGGCTCTCCTGTACCCTGTTTCTGGCCTGAGGGAAGAAGGGATGGGGCAACTGAAGGGTGCCTTCCTTGGGAGACTTGGGAGGAAGCTGCATATCTTAACCAACAGATGAGTCTCCTAGGCTGAAACCCTGGCCTGCTCTGCAAGCTGGCACTATCTCTCTGTGCTGCAGGAGAGCTGCTGCTACCAGGGGGGAGTGCAGGGCCATGCAGACTCCTGGGTCTCCATCTGCATCTGCTCCGGGCTCAGGTACAGGGGGTGGAGTCCACAAAAATAGAGAGAATGGCAGGTTATGAAAACGGAGCTGAAAAGTTGTCTGACTTCCTTCCTCTTTCCCTAGGGGCTTGGTGATCCTGTCCCCAGAGAAAGGCTATACCCTGGAGCTGAGGTCTGGGGACCTTCAGGGTCCTCCCATTATCTCCCGGATCCAAGATCTCCTCCTGCCAGGACACGCTTGCGCCCTAAGCCGGCATGAACCTGCGCCCACTTGGGCTTCAGCAGGGCACCCCCTGCGACAGCCTCGAATTCATCGGGTAAGGAAGGCCCCAGGAAGCTGGCCCCAGGGCCCTTGGGGCTGTTTGTTCACGGTGCTAGTAGTTCCTGCTAGTGGAGAGGTCTCCGTCCATGTGCCGGGCACTTTGGGACTTTATCTCCTCCACTCTGTCCACAGCCTGGGGAGGTGGGTGCTGTTGGGAGCTAGTGAGACAGGTTAAGTGATTTGCCCAAGGCCATTCAACTAATACCTGCTATATCCAGGATTTAGATGTAGGCACTAGACTCAAACTCCTCAAGTCTTATGATCCCATATGCAGAGAGCTCACTTGGATCTAGAAAATACATTGTTACCAATCTAAAGCAATAAAAACTGAATTTTCTAATTTGTAAAATAGGGAATAATAAAACTACTTACCTTATAGGGTTGCTATGAAGATTAAATAACTCAATATATATGTAAAGTACTTAGAACTGGGCCTGGCACATGGTAAGTATTTGATGGTCTTGGCTATTATTGTTTTTTTAATTTGGAAAAAGCTCTGTATTTGGAGCCAGAAAAGTGGGGCTCTACTCCCCACTTCCTAGCCTACTTTTTGGTCTACCTTGGGCAGGTCCCTGGCCTCTCAGGCTCGGTGGTCCGTCTCTAAAAAGGGGCTCTTCTCTCTCCTCTGTTAGGCCACACCAGGTGGGAGTGGACACAGCTTGGTCAGCCCTACATGGCTGCCGTCAGTGTGAGCAAGCAGCCAGTGTGCCTGACGCTCCCTTTTCTTGTCCACAGTGGAGGCGAGACGTGGTAACAGAAACCAAGATTATTGAGCTAGTGATTGTGGCTGATCATTCGGAGGTGAGCTTGCTGGCCTCAGCGTGCCCTGCCCCCACCCAAGTGCCCTGCCACCTTCCATGTCTCCTCTCTTAACCCACAGGTCCAGAGGTACCCAGACCACCAGCAGCTGCTAAACCGCACACTGGAAGTGGCCTTACTCCTGGACACAGTCAGTGTTGGGCAGGGCGGCATCCTTATACCTCCCAACTGTGGGAGTGCCTCTCCTGAGCCCCAGCTCTTTTTCAGTTCTTCCAGCCCCTAAACATACGAGTGGTGCTGGTGGGCCTGGAGGCGTGGACCCGACACGACCTGATAGAGATAAGCCAAGACCCAGGTGTCACGCTACACAACTTCCTCCGCTGGCGCCGGGCCAGCTTACTGCCTCGTTTGCCCCATGATAGTGCCCAGCTGGTGACGTAAGACCCCCCAGGCTCAGTCAGTGGGGCCACCTCTGCCCTGGCCTGGCCAATTTCACAGCCCAGCTCCCTACCTGAGGCCTTGAAGCTCTGGCCCTCTGGCTTTTGGCCTTGACCTTTGACCTCTCGATCCCACAGAGCTACTTCATTCTCTGGGCGCATGGTGGGCATGGCCATTCAGAGCTCCATCTGTTCTCCTGACTTCTCAGGAGGTGTAAACATGGTGAGCCATTTCCAGGTCTCCTCCCCATTCCCAGTGAGGCTCCTCCCAGCTGTGGCACCATTTATGGACTGAAAACCCCCACAAGTTACCCACCGAACCCCGAGCTGTGGGTAGAGAGGGCAGGGGTGCGTGCTGGGGCCTCTGCTGTCAGGGTGCCCTCACTGACGGCCCACTCTACAGTGTACAGTCTTCGCCTCGGAGGTCTTCCCGTTTGGGGGCGGCATCTGAGGCCCGAAGAGCAGAGGTGATCTCCCTGGGCCACACAGTGAGGGAGGGGAAACAGCTGACTGGAACCCAGGTTTTCTGCCACCCAGGCCTGGGCTCTGCTCCTGTGAAGGAGGGAGGCGGTGACTACTGAATGCCTGAGAGGTCAGATGAAGACAGAATGGGAGCAGTTAGGCTGGTGCTGGACCCAGGATACCCTTTTCCACAGGACCACTCCATAAGCATCCTGGGAGTTGCCTCTTCAATAGCCCATGAGTTGGGCCACAGCTTGGGCTTGGACCACGACTCACCTGGGAACAGCTGCCCCTGTCCAGGCCCAGCCCCATCCAAGAGCTGCATCATGGAGGCCTCCACAGAGTGAGTGACTGCAGGAGGTAGAGGGTGGATGGGCAGGGAGCAGGCAGTGGTCTACAGCCCCAGCCTTCCATGCTGCCCTCCCCAGTTTCCTGCCAGGCCTGAACTTCAGCAACTGCAGCCGACAGGCCCTGGAGAAGGCCCTCTTGGATGGGATGGGCAGCTGCCTCTTTGAACAGCTGCCCCGCCTGCCCTCCATGGCTACCGTCTGTGGAAATAAGATTTCGGGGCTGAGCAAGCAGTACAACTGTGGCTTCCCAGATGTGAGCCCCTCTCCCAAAGCCTTGCCCCACTTACTTCTGTGCCCTCTCCAAGACTCCTGAGCCCCTCTCTGTTTCTGAAGGGCCCTTTCATCCCTCTCCCACCTCCCTGTCTTCGGGGACAGCACGTGGATTTTTGGGCCCTAGCTTTCACTTGCTCTGGCCGTTCTTTTGGGTTCAGGCTCTGAGTGGTAGGCTCTCAGGCCGCCTTCTCTGATGCTCAGGCCGCTGTGCCCTGGCCCACAGGACTGCACTGATCCCTGCTGTGATTCTGTCACCTGCCAGCTGAGGCCAGGAGCACAGTGTACATCAGATGGACCCTGTTGTCAAAATTGCCAGGTGGGCGCAGACTGGACTGGACTCCTAGAGCTCACCTGCCAGGTGTCAGGGTGGAAAGGGTCGTTCTGACTCTCAGGGCCTGGCTGCATTTGCTCAGCACTGAAATTTGCTCACTGTCTACAGCTGCGCCCGGCTGGCTGGCAGTGCCGTCCAGCAAGAGGTGACTGTGACTTGCCCGAGTTCTGCTCAGGAGACAGCTCCAGGTGCCCTCCTGACATCAGTCTGGGGGACGGCGAGCCGTGTGCTGGTGGACAGGCTGTGTGCATGCAAGGGCGCTGTGCCTCCTATGCCCAACAGTGCCAGGCTCTCTGGGGACCTGGGGCCTGGCCTGCCGCACCACTCTGCCTCCTCACTGCCAATACTCGGGGGAATGCCTTTGGGAACTGTGGGCGCAGCCCTGCTGGCAGTTATGTGTCCTGTGACCCTAGGTGAGTTAGGGAGTGGCTCCTCCCCTGGGTTTGTGGGAAACTTGGCCCCAATCCCACTGACCCTGGGCCTCCTCCCTCGCCCTAGAGATGCCATTTGCGGGCAGCTCCAGTGTCAGGGGGGCATGGCCCAGCCTCTGCTGGGTTCAGCCCAGGACTTTCACTGGGAGACACTAGAAGCCAACGGGACCCAGCTGAATTGCAGCTGGGTACACCTGGACCTGGGCAATGATGTGGCCCAGCCCCTCCTGACTCTACCTGGAACAGCCTGTGGCCCTGGCCTGGTGAGCAACCCGGGGGGAACGAGACCAGGTTGGGAGGGATATCTTGATGTGGTGAGCAGTATCCTGGTCTCACAGTGCACCAGTGTAAAAGGCACAGACTCCGAGGGGAATTCAGATTCTCTGATCAAGTGAAGTCCTGCTGTCCTACGTGCCTCGGTTTCCCATCCGTAAAAGCAGGCTGTGGCTTCAGCCATGTTGGCCTCCAGTGCTAGTAAGCTCTGCAAGAACATGATCTTTGCTCTTCTTCTCATTGGGCAGGTATGCATTGACCGTCGGTGCCAGCCTGTGGATCTCCTGGGAGCACAGGAGTGTCGAAGCAAATGCCATGGGCATGGGGTGAGGTGGTGTGGAGAGGTGGACGGGGAGCAGGGAGCCTCCAGGGAGGAAGAGGGTAATGGACTTTGAAAACAGACATCCCTGGTTCTAATCCTTGCTCTACCACTGCCTAGCTGCATGACCTGGGGCAGGTTATTAACCTCTCTGAGCTCGGTGTCCTCATCCATCTAATGGCCATAACAATAGCACTCACCTCCTGAGGTACGTGAGATGAGTGTGTAAGCTTCTGCCCAGTGTCCCGCATATAGGAGGCGGTTGAAGTGGTGGTTCGATCTGGTTTCCTCCAGCGTGGGTGAGGGCTCCCAGAGCATTGGCTCCCTGTGCCCATGGTCCCACACACCTGCCATTCGTGCATATCTGAGATCTTGAAAAGCAGGGGACAGGGAAACATGGCCTCAGTGTACAGAGCCCCTCACTGCTCAACCTGTACCTCCTAGGTCTGTGACAGCACTAGGCACTGCCGCTGTGAGGAGGGCTGGGCACCCCCTGACTGCAGCGCCCGGGTCAGAGGTAGCACGGCCTGGGGGCGGGGGCAGCTGGGAGGGCAAAGTGGCTTATGTTTTCGCCCCCTCATTTTCCGACCCCTCTACTGATGGTTCCCTCACTCTGTGTGACCCCTGGCTCCCCTCACTTTCTCTGTGCACTTGATCTCACTCCCTGCCCCCTGCGCCTTTCTGGGTGTAGAGTTCTCAGCCCTGCCCACCTTCAAACATGCCTTCACTCGGCAGCCTCCAGCTCCCTGACCACAGGGCTGCCCCTCAGCCTCCTGTTGTTGCTGATCCTGGTGCTGCTTGGTGCCAGCTACTGGCACCGTGCCCGCCTACGCCAGCGACTCTGCCAGCTCAAGGGACCCAGCTGCCAATACAGGTACCAGCCTCCTTGCTACCAGCTCCCTCCACACCTCTCTTGAGCCCTGCCCCCATCTCCTGTGCAGCCCCTGCCACCTGGTTCTGACCCCAAGCCCCTTGGGCCACACCACACACGCCTCCTTTCCCTCCATGTGCCTTGGAACTCTTCACCTCACACATAGGCCTGTAGCCCTGAATGGGTAAGCTGAGGTGCTAGGGTCACTTCCCCTCAGAAGCCCATGTGCTGGGGAACTGGGGCCCTCGGACTGATCTGCTTCCCCTCCACACCCAGTCGGACCTAAACTCCACACATGCTCCTCTGCAAGGAGCTGCAAAGGGTTAGGCCCACTCAAGGGTGGCATGTAGGTGAAGAACATGGTCTGAGGCTGGGCCCTCTCCCTCCTTGTCTTTCTCCATGCTCAGGGCAGCCCAGTCTGGTCCCCAAGAACGCCCAGAACCCCCACAGAGGGCCCTGCTGATGCTGGGTGCCAAGGTGAGTCCTGGATGCCAGAGAAGAGAGGGCCCCACCTTGGCCAGACATCCAGCCTGGGCCCTGGGGTGGGGGTATTGGAGACTCTAGACTGAAAGATTCACATTACCCAAGAGTCAAAGGCCAGCCTGGAGTGGGGAGGGGCAGTCACCTAGAGGAGGGTCCGCTGAGCTCTTTGAGCTGGCCAAGCTGGTGGCTTTGAGAGGTGATCTACCCCTGCTCCCAGCAGTGGTCCCTGGATGGATCACTAGGGGGGGTGGGGCCCAGAATGGCCTTGGCTTCAGCGTGTGGGGACCTGATGAGGCCCACTTTGCCATGTGTAGAGGGCTGGTGAGTGCTCCTGCTCTGAGCCCTCTGGGTCTGATGACAGGAGTATGTGTGCGGAGGTGGTCTCCATGCCCACCCTGCCACTTCTCACCCCCTCTGCATAGCACTGAATAACGGCATGCACAACCCCACTGCCCCTGGGATCCTGGCTGCCCCTCCCTGGGCACTAACCCCTCTCTGCCTGCATCTGTCTCTCTACTCCCTACCCGACTCTGTGCCTGTTTGCTCCTCCTGCTCTCTCAGCAGGCTAGTGCACTTGGCTTCCTGGTTCCCCCTTCCAGGCCACTGCCTCCTGACCCTGTGTCCAGGAGACTCCAGGTAAATCTGGGCCTGGCCCAGGGCAGGTGGGAGGCTTGGTACCCAACTGCAGTTCTCATCCCTGTTCCCTGCCAGTGATGCTCTTCATTAGGGGACCAGGGTGCCCCTCAGCCTTCAGACACTATGAGCCCCAGAAGCAGCAAAGGGTGAGCCTCCTGCCTTGGTTTCTACCACCATCTGGTGGTCAGTGGCGGGACTGCAGTGGGCCAGGGACACCACAGTGACCCATTCCTTCCTCCCTCCAGACATCTGCTGGCATGCACCCAAGCCCTGTGCACATGTTCCCATTCTCCTGTCCTCTGGCTGATTTTGCATGTTGACCTGAACCCCTTGGGAGAACCCCTGCATGCCCACTGCCCCCCTCTGTGCTCTCACAGCCACTGCCCTTCTCTCTGTGTTCAGGCTGAGCTGGCTGACCGACCCAATCCCCCCACACGCCCTCTGCCTGCTGACCCGGTGGTGAGGCACCCGAAGGTAACAGTGGGGGGAGAGAAGGTCACAGCCTCTTCCACCACCCAGGGCTGTTATGGTAGTGGCCATGACGAGATGCCCTCTCTATTTGAGGGCACATACCCTGGTGGCATCTCTAAATGGCGACAGGTTTGTTTGGGGAAAAAAAGGTAATCTCTGGCGCTGCCCCCACACACACTGGTGTTCCCCGGCACCAGTACATCCGGGGTGGCCAACCTGACACCCTCTCCCAAGTTGGCCTTCTACCTCCTCTCTCTCTCTGTCTCAGGGGCCTGCCAAGCCCCCACCACCAAGGAAGCCACTACCTGCCAACCCCCAGGGCCGGTGCCCTTCAAGTGACCTGTCTGATCCAGGAGCTGGAAACCTACCCCTGGTGGTACCCTCCAGGTGGGCAAGGAAAGGCGCTGAGAATGGATGGGCGGGAGGAGTGGTCTGGGAAAAGGGTATTTCTCACCTTTTATTCTCTGCTTCTGGCACCCCAGGCCTGCGCCGCCACCGCCACCAGGGGTGACCTCCCTCTACCTCTGAACTCTCCTGAAGTTTTGCCTGCCTCCAGGACTTAAAGAGGCATGGACAGGTTTCATGGAGTACACCCACACACACACTCAGCAACAATGGAAGGAGCCAGCGCCTGGACACAAAGGAGCAGGTGTCTGAAGTCACCTCCACAAGCTGCTGAGCATCACCCTGGGGACCAGCCCATGCAGTTGCAGCTGAGGGTTAGGGAGCGCTGGGCGCTGGACCTAGCTGAAGGAGGTGTGCACAGCCTGTCTCTCTGCTCAGTTACAATAAATGAAAGATCTCCGGGGCGTGCCTCGGTGTGTCGGCTCAGGGAAGGTTGGGTGGCCTTTGCTGCAGCTCATCTGGCCAGCAGGGGACGCTGCCCCCTCAGATGAACACAGAATAGGGAGAACGAGAGTCCCACGAAGGAGCAGCTTCTGTCACCGGGATCCTCGGATGCTCGGACGCCCATGGTTTGCTTCTGCCCAGTCTGGAATAGCTCTCTGTGCAGTCCAGTACCAAAGGGAGGAGTCTGCCTTTTGCCATTCCGTCACCCAGCCCTCGCCCCAACGCTTAGGGGTGACCATTCGACAAACCGGCCAAGTTGTTTTACCCTCCGTCCCCACCCTCTGACTGGTGGCTGGGTAAAGTGGATCTGGCTGGTATTCTCAGAGCCCCAGAGCCGGGGCGGAGCCCGGCGGCAGCTCCCACGATCTCAAGGCCAGGCACCTGCCTCCTCCCCCGCCCCCACCTGAGGGCTCGGGAACAAAGGTGCTTTGTACAAGCCGCAACCACCTCATTACTTCGTCTTCAAGGCTGGCGCTGCGCGGGCCCCCAGCCCAGGATGGAGGTGTGGGGCGGAAAGGGACAGGAGCCAAACCCCAAGGTGGGCTTCGAGCTCACCACTGCAGGCTCAGTGGGGGAAGGGGAAGTGAGGAGGAGGAGTGCTCCAGGAGGCGGTCTGTCCCTTCCCCCCAGCGCTGTCTCTAGAGGTGAAAAAAAAAAACCCACAAACAAACCAGGGTGATGCGCTAAGGTGGCTGGACAGACTTCGTGGGTCCTTGCCCAGGCCTCACTTTACTCTTTCTGGGCAAGGGGCCTGTGCTCCTATTTAAATCTTCCACACTTCTAATAACACTGTCTACAGTGTACTAATGCAGACCCTAAAGATACAACCTCTTTAAAAACCGTCATGGATCGGGAAGACGTCCCTCCTGGCCCCTCGCAACCCTGTCCAGTCTCTGTAGGAGCCTGGCTAACCTGGCCCTGATAACGGCTCACAGGGGGTTAACAAGAGTTGGCGCTGGAGTGGAAAGGCGGAGACACACTCCTATTGGCGAAAAGTTATCCAGGGGCGTGGTTGATGAGTTTCCACACCCCACCCCCTTCCCCCGCACCCCCTCTTCTCTACTTTGTACCTTTCTGGCGGCCACGGCGAAGTGGGCCGGGCCGAACCAGACCAGACTGAACCGCGGGGGCGATGCGGCTGCTGCCCCTGCTGCGGACTGTCCTCTGGGTCACGCTCCTCGGCTCCCCTCTGCAAGGGAGCTCTGGCCTCCGTCACGACTTCTACTGGAACTCCAGTAACCCCAGGTAGCCGGGCCGAACCCGGCCAGCAGCCTGCGGGGCCTGTGAACTCCCGGGCTTAGCGCGCGTTCCTCCGAGTCTCTCTCTCTCTCTGTCTGTGTGACTCTCGCTCAGTGCAGGGTGCCGCCGGCACCCGGCCGGCTGCACTCCAGGGCTCCTTTGTTTGAGTCGGCGGGGAGGGGGGAGGGGCGAGGCGTGCCCCGGGTCTCCCCCCAACCCGCACGTGTCGGGGGACGCTCAGAGGACCTCAGCCCCAAGTATGGTAGGTAGCCTCTTAGAGCCGGGAGCTGAGGGCCCTCGGCCTGCGCGCTCCGAGCCCCGCCCCCTCTCTTCTCTCCTGGTGACCCTCAGCCTCCCTCCAGCTTGAGGGAGGCGGGCGGACTTGAGAGCGAGCAGGGGACTTTCCTCGAGAAGGAGCGTGAGTTACTCCCCGGCTTGCCTGCCTCCCCTCCGGCACTCACTGTCTCCTGATCTCTTATTTGGCATCTATGTTTCCATCTCAGTCATTATCTCCTTCTATTTGTCTCTAGTCTGGCCCCTGCCCTTCTAGCTCAATCACTTTTGGCCAAGTCTTTGACCTCCGTAACTGCTTCCACCCCCCTCCCCAGTTCCCCCTGTCTCTCTCTACTGTCTCCATCTGTTTTCCTTTCTGATTTTCTACTTGAGACAACCTGACTCCGCCTTTATTCACTCACTAAGAGCGTACTGGGCACCCACCGGGACCTGTGCTAGGGTGCTGGAGATCAGACGTTCGAAACCCTAGACTCTGCCCTCTGAGAGCCCAAAGACCCCCTGGGGAGGGCAGACCAGGCCTCTGGGCAGGTCATTACAATACCAATACCGGATGATAAGAGCCATTGTTGTCTTCTAACTCAGAATTCCTCTCTCTCTGTTCCAGACCAGTGCCTCTGAATCACTTGGAGGACTTGTTAAAAATTCAGGTTTCTAGCCCCCAACTCCGAGGTTTCCGGCTCATTCATTCAATCCACACATATTTATTGAGCCCTGTCCTTGTGCAGGACACTTTTCCAGGCACTGAGGATGTGGTGAAAGAAAGTGTACAAAGGTTTCTTGTGTTCTAGTAGTTCTGAGCTGAGCCCAGGAATGTGCATTTCTAACCAGAACTCCTGATACTGGTGCCCCTTGGACCACCCATTGGGGACAGTTGGAGGCCTTGCCCAGGTCAAGCTAGGGTGTGTGTGTGTGTGTGTGTGTGTGTGTGTGTGTGTGTGTGTGTGGAGGGGGCGAGCTGTATTTGGTGCTGTGCAGGGCAGTCGGCCCCAGTCCTTGCCACCTGCACTGGCTCCCTGAGGCAGGTCCCCAGACAGGGGCATCCTGAGGAGGCTGAAGACTGGGTGATATGTAGAGAGGGCTCCCTCCACTTCTGGGACTTTGTTCTGGCAACAAAGGCGGGGAGCACCCACCATCCACTCCCTCACTGACATTCTTTTTAGCATTGGATTGAGGTCTGGAGGGTGGTCCCCTCTGTACATCCCCTGTTCCCCAGTCTCCACCTCTGCTTCTGTGACTGTGTTGTGGGCCTAGATCTCTGTCCCTCGCCTCCACCCCAGCTTCTTCACAGCAACCATTCACCTAACATTTACCTGGCACAGGTGCTGTGCCAGGCGCTGGTTGGGCACTAGGGCCAGAGAGCCAGATGGCAGTTCCCACGCAAAGGCAGGGCACGGAGGGAGGCCCTCTCACAGTTGAGCCATGTGGTTGTGGGCGATTCCTTAACCACTCTGAACCTGTAAATCTGTTGTCTCGTTCGTTTCTTGCGCCCTGTCTCTCAGGAGTTGTCAGTCTGTAGACCTCAGGCCTTGCTGAGATGTTCCCTCTCCAGAGGGCAGGAGAGGGGTGGGTAGAGACCCTTGGGAAGGAGCGTCTCTGACCTGTGTGCCCCACATGCGCCCTGCCATGACCCCCTCAGCCCACACCTACCTTGTGCCTGCAGGCTGCTTCGAGGAGACGCCGTGGTGGAGCTGGGCCTCAACGACTACCTGGACATCTTCTGCCCACACTATGAGGGTCCAGGCCCCCCCGAGGGCCCTGAGACATTTGCTTTATACATGGTGGACTGGTCGGGCTATGAGGCCTGCCAGGCACAGGGGGTGGGTGCCTTCAAGCGCTGGGAGTGCTCCCTCCCCTTTGCTCCCTTTGGCCCAGTTAAATTCTCAGAGAAGATTCAGCGTTTCACGCCCTTCTCCCTTGGCTTCGAGTTTTTGCCTGGAGAGACCTACTACTACATCTGTGAGTGGGGAAGGGCGCACCGGTCCCCTCTTGGGGGAGATGAGGACAGGAATGGGGTGCCTGGCTTTGCCACCAGTCCAGGTAGAGAGCCTGAGGTGAGGGGGAAGGATGGGACTGGAAATGAAGGCCAGACCTGGGAGGGAGGAGGGGCTGTGGTCAGCGAGAGGGATTGTAGGGGCCCTGAGTCCAGGACTGAAGAAGGGGGCATCTAGAGTGAAGTCTACGCAGAGGAGGACGAGGTCCTGGGAAAGGTGGTGAGGGGCATGAGGAGGGGCCGTGGATGGGCCCTTGCAAGTGAACGGGGCCCAGAAAGAAGGAAAAGCTTTCCCAGGAATTGGAGAGAAGAGAAGCTGGGAGGGTCTGAAACAGAATCTGCAAACTAGCCTGTGCTGTTTCCTCCCACCACGCAGCGGTGCCAACTCCCGGGAGTCCTGGCCAGTGCTTGAGGCTCCAGGTGTCTGTCTGCTGCAAGGAGAGCAGTAAGTGGGTTGGGGAACTGGGAGCACCCCTTCTGGCTCGGGGTCCGTGGGGTCGAGGGGAGGCGTGGGAGAATCTGGGAGCATCAGACTCAGAGGGATCCAGGCAGGGTTAATAAGCTATGGCCTCTTTTCTCCCCATTGAGCCTGTGGGAGCTTCACACTGAAGCCTGTCGTGCTGGGCCAACAGAACAGCATCTTCAGGGTCAAGGCCCTTGACGGCTTTTGCTGAACTGGTGGTGTGTATTGGCAATTGGGGGGAAACTTAGAAGTTGGGGCTTACAGAGGATAAGGTGGTAGATTACAGGAAGGGAGTGGCTGGTCTGAGAGACCCTGGAGAATAGGCTAGAACAGCTGATGATGGGCAGAGTGAAAGGACACTGCTGGGATGGAGGACACATTGGTGCTGCCCCTCCTCCTCACAGAGTCTGAGTCAGCCCATCCTGTTGGGAGCCCTGGAGAGAGTGGAACTTCAGGGTGGCAAGGCGGGGGCACCCCCAGCCCCCTCTGTCTCTTGCTGCTGCTGCTGCTTCCAATTCTTCGTCTTCTGCGAGTTCTCTGAGCCAAGTGGACCCTTCCTGCCACCCCAGGAATCAGAGCCCTCCCAGGACACCCTGGAGAGGAGCCCCTGCCACCTGAGCTGGGAGTGCCAAGCTAGACGGACAAGATGGAGGAGTGATGAGGGGAGTCAGAGGGTCTGAGGTGACCCTTGCAGGTGCTGGCCCCCTCATCCCAGGCCGAAGAGGAACTACAGGGGAGCTGCAGACAGCCCTGGGCATCTAAAGACGAGGCAGGATAAACAGACTCTCCAACAGCTGTTTTGATGGCCTTATCGCATCTCCCAGGAAGACTGGCATTTGTTGGGATTGAATCCTTGAGCCTGCTGGGGGCCAAGGCCAAAAACCTGGGACAGGTGGATTGCAGGACCAGGTCAAGGAAGCAGCCCAGGCCTGCCATCTGTGCCCAGGGCCCTGTGGGCCCCTTCCCTGGGGCAGCACCTTTCCCTCCCAGGGGGTCACTCACTTGTCTTCTGTGAAGACAGAGACTTGCCATGAGGCTGAGTTTCATAACAGTTTGTATTTTTATAAGTGTCTGGACCAAACCTTCAATAAACCACCCAGCTTTTTGTTGCTGTCCTCGACCTCTGGCTCCTTCCCTGCCACTAGGAACTCCCTGCAGCCTCTGCTCTCAGCTTGACTTGGCTTGACCTCCGTGCCAGCTGTGCCCAGGCCATCCACACCAGGCTTCAGTGGGCACCCCTCTGGGCAGTGCGGGCTGGGTGCCAGCAGCAGCTGTGGAGCTTGGCACCTTCTCCCACCTCCCTAGCTGGCTTCCTGTGCTGAGGAGGGGGCAGGTGCTCCTGACAGCCCACCCATCCGAGGCACTGCCCAAACTGTGATAGCACAGGCAAGGCTACTAGAAAGACAGCACCTGGGTTTCAGGGTGTCTGGGTCCCTGCGAGCTGGGTGTCCCCCTCCCGAGGGCAGTCTGGGCGGTGCCTGGCCTAGAAGGGGAAGGTGGGGTCGGATCAAAGCCTCCATCCCCAGCGGCCTCTTTGTTCTTTGCTTTTACAAGAGGGTGGGAGGCGGGGAAGGAAGGGGGGCCCCCTTTGCTCTCGAGCCCGCACTGTGTCTCCCACCTGTGGCAGAAGTGGCTATGGTCTCCCCTCAAGCCCACTGGGCCTTCCTTCTGAATGATGTCCTGGATGGAGCTGGAGGAAAGGGCTCCCCTTCCCCCGCAGTTCTCTACCGCCCCGGGGCCCGCAGCCTCCACAGGCACAGCGTCTGCCTGCCTGGCACTGAGCCCGCGATCGATAGGTGGATGTTGTGCTGATTAGCTCCGCGGCTGCGGCAGCGAGAGGCGGCGTGTGAACACGCGGTGGGGCGGGGGCGCGGGGGGAGGGGGGCGGTGGTTGGAGACTGACAGACTGAAATGCTGGGGATTTCTAAGCCCTCCCCCACCCTCTTGTGCGCCTTGGTCAAAGCCAGGTCCCTCGGTAAATTCCATTGCTCTGGCTGCGGCCTGGGATGGAGGACAGCGGCGCAGGCGGAGCGGACACAAGTCAACCCCTTCCCCATATGAGGCCACTTTCAGAAAATGTCATATCCGTAGGTATGCATGTGTCAGGACCCTCACCCCAAACAGTCTTTAGCGCGCGGAGGGTAGGGACTGGAGTGCGGAGGGCGTGGAATCTGAGCTGAAGAACGAAATATGAGCTTGGTCTTCTGGTTCTGGATTCGAGTTCCATCTGTACTACCGCCCAGGACATATGTTTATGTCGCCATGGAATTCAACTGTACTGTTACCTCCACCTGTCTCCAGTGGAACCATAGGTGGGGCAGGCTAGGGGCAACTGGTTAGTAGCCCCTGCCTCTCATTGAGAACTGTGGGAGGTCTCACTGCTGGCCGCTGTCCCAGACACACCCTCCTGGGTGACCAGGCCCGGCGCGCCCACTCAGGAGTCCCTCTGGCGCGCTGATCTGCCGAGATAAGAACGCGAGTTCGAAAGAGACTCGGGCCCAGTGGGCTTTGCCCGCACTCCTACGAGCGCGCTCCCTCTTGGTCTCGCCTTCGACACAGACAGACACACACACACATCCTCGCGGCCCGCTCAGCCCCCTGCGAGAGCTAGGGCGAACACCTAGGCAGCTGCGCACTTGTAGGGGCGGGGACGAGGGCGGGCGGGGGAGGGGGGCGGTCGCAGACTGAGGCCAGGAGGCCGCAGGCCTCAAGCCAAGCCAGCCTTCCCTGCCCTCGCTTTCCTCTCAGCCTCTGCCCTGATGCAATCTCGGGGCATGTCCCCATGGAAAACGAGAGCCCAGTCTGCTCCTGGGGCAGAGACGGGCTAAAGGCGCTAGGAGGTCTTCCGGTACAGGGCCCTACCTATATCCATGAGAAACCCTCCGGTCGTGTTCCGAGGCACCGTTCCAGAAGGCTTGGGCAGGTCTGCAAGTTTGGGGGCGTCAGCGATCTCCCCTAAACTCGGCGCTAGGCGGCTGAAGGTGGAGCCCTCGATTTGCTAGGCATGCCCTCATCCCCCAAACAGATGCAAAAACTCCCCTCATCTTTGCCTCATTCTATCTGTCCGTTCCAAGAGCCTGAGAGCCCGAGTCTCTGTTACCGGATCCTGCTCCACACTTTCCGAGACTGCAAATCTCCCTCCTTCCCTAGAGGCTAAACCCTGAAGTTTTGGTCTTATTGGGACCCGTCCCTTTTTTCTTCTCCTTTATAAATCCTTCCTTCCTTTCCTTATTCATTCATTCAGCAAATTGTGAGCTCCCAGCAAGCCCTTCTTTCTGCGGCCACCTGGGGCAGCGGTCGTTTGGGAGGGGAGGGGGGATCCCCAGCTGTGATGCAGCTGGAGAAGGGTACTCTGGCTTCCAAATAGCCAATAGAATTCGGGGGCCTGGGGCATGAGGTCATCAGAGGTAATGCCTATTGGTTCAGGTCTGGACGTGGGAGGGGTCCCCATAGCAACCAACGGTGAGTCCAGGCATAACCTGGAGAGTTTGAGCTTCAGTAGCCAGCTTGGGTGGTGCCTGGGTCAGGGGCAGGGAGGCTGGGGTGGCTCTCAGCTTCCCAAGTCCTTCCTTAGCCCGACCAAGTTCTTAGCTTTCTTTCTTTATCTTTTTTTTTAAATTGATTTTAGAGAGACAAAGAAAGGGAGAGAGAGAGAAATGTCTATTTGTTCTTCTACTTAGTTGTGCATTCATTAGTTGCTTCTCTTATGTGCCCTGACCAGAAATCTAACCCACAACCTTGTTTCATGGGGAGGACGCTCTAACCAACTGAACTGCGCGGACGGGGCCTAAACTGGTGTCTTTCTCACTTTGAGTAAGTCGAGATTAGTGCCACTCAACCCTGGAAAGTTAGGAGGGCAGTCCTGGCAACAGTGTTGGGGTCCTGGGTGCAGAGCCGCTGCCACCAGGAATGTTAATTCTGAGATCCTCGTGTTCTCTGCATACCGTCTGCATCTCATTTGCATTCTCTTCATTTAAGGTCAAATTGGGCAGACATCTCCACATCCCCAGCTCTGTCGCTCTACAGCCCTGTTGCTATCTATATCCCGAATCTACCCCTTAGAGTAATCTCAGTCATCTAGTTCCTTATCCCACCCCTCTTCCCAGCCTCCAGCATCTACAGAAGTGGGAGGGGACACAGCCTACCCAAAGGAGAAAGGACAAGAAGTCGGCTTCCCCCTCTGAATGTTTCGTGGCAGATGGGGAGGACTGGTCTGTACTGCCTAGAGACTAAATTGGCAAAGCCAGTAGTGGGGGGAGGTGCCCCCGGCTGGGTTGAGGATCTCCAGGGCCAAATCATGCACACACCTGGCAGGGTGCTGGAACAGGAGATGCCTGCCTCCAGCCAGGGGCAGGCCTACCCACCAGTCTGGTGCCAGGGCAGCTTCCTTCCTCCAATTAAACCTTAATGAGGTGTCATTAACCCTTACCTTGCCTGCCTGTCCTCAGGTGGAACACAAACTCATGGTCTCACACTGAGTGGAGAGAAAGAAGGGCCTTCGAGGAAGCTGAGAACCACGAAAATCAGAGGACCAAGCGACAAGAAGGTGGGGCCAAAGACATGAGTGGCATGAGTTTGGTGTCCTTTGTGTGCTTCTGAGGGGTTCTGCGGAGGAGTCCCACTGTCTGAATGTATTTATTCTTTTGTTTGTCAATTCAACAATTATTTATTAAGCACCCCACCTACTCCTATTAACTGACTACCAAGCTGCATGCTAGATGCTGGGAATAACACTTGCATAAGACAAGATCCCTTCCCTTAAGAAATCTTCAGCACAAACTGGTATGGCTCAGTGGGTTAAGCAGTGGCCTGCAAACTGAAAGTTTGCCGGTCCGATTTCCAGTCAGGGCCTATGCTTGGTTTTTGAGAGGCAACCGATGGATGTGTCTCTCACACATCGATATGTCTCTCCCTCTCTTTCTCCAGCTCCCCCTTACCCTCTCTCTAAATAAATAAATAAAATCTTTTTAAGAAAGAAATCTTCATATTACTTGAGAAGACAAACTGACCAAGAAATAATTATAATGGCAAGTGCAAATCTATTATAAAGCTATGTACAAAGTGCTACGGGAACACAGGGCAAGGGGCTGTCAGGGAAGGCTTGGGTTGTGAAGGACAAAGTTTATGGTAGGGAGGGGATGTGGTCTGATTCAGTGCGAGTCTGTGCTTAGCTGTGTCATCAGGGCGGCTTGTGCCTGTGTCTGCCCTCCCAGAGCTCTGTGCTTTGCATCTGTGAACATGTATGTGAGTGTGTCTGTGTGTTCTCTGGGTCTCTCTGTGTCTAGAATCCTTTTTCTTGAACGCACATGGTGGTTTTATTACAGATCAATGTTTGCTGTGAAGCTCTTGTACAGATTAGTCCGAACCTGCCCAGCCCAGGGGAGGGGAAGTGGCGAAGCTATGTTGGCTCTTTGGGAAGGGGTGGGCAGGCACCATGTTTATAGCTGGGGACCCAGATCCCTGGCTCCAAGTGGCAGCAGAATAGCCGGTGGAGGCTGAGGGCTGAGCCCCAGGCTATGGAAGGGTGCGCCTAGGCTTCAGTCCCTCTGCCCCTAGCTCCCCCAGGGGCCGCAGGGGTTACAGAGCTCAGGCCCCCTCCCCCAACCTGTTCTTCCGTCTGCAGAGGAGCAGGCCAGCTCAGACCTGTCTGCTGCTCTCTCCCTCAGGGAGCAGAGCCTTTCCAGGGGACATGAGAGGGCCAGGGAATGCTGGGCCTACTGGAAGGCCCCAGGCCCCCCACCCTAGCCCTCTCTGGCTCTTTTCAGCCTGGATTCTCCCCACCCACTCTTCAGTGCCATTTCTCTGGGTTTTGCCCAGACATAGCCATCTTTGCCAGGGGAGCCCTTGGCTGCTATAGGCAGCGGGTGGGGGCTAGAGCTCCGGCAGTGAGAACAGGCATGGGGGGTGGGGTGGGAAGGAGGACGAGGAGATCGTGAAGGTCTCTATACGCAGAGACCTCTACCTTAACTTCCTCTGTCTCCCTGCAGCCACTCAATGGAAAGCTACATTTTGGTGGCAGGAAAGACAAGACAGTCTGGATTAAGGTAGAATTTTAGGGGTTAAGGAGAGGCTCTGAGGTTAAGGAGCCCCCTTCCACACTGTCAAGGATGGGGGACCTTG